TTGCCCCTTCCTTCCCCATTTTCAGATCATGTCTATTCAACCATGCCTACGGTCAACCTCCCCCTCCCCACATGCTCTGCCACTGTCAAGCGCTCTGAGACTCTACCCTGCGTGAGGGGTGCTATAACAACAACAAGTTGTTGTTCTTGTAGTAAATTTTTTTTTATTGCATTGATATAATAATAATTTTTGGATGTGATATTGCGCCTTATCACGTCTTCGGGATGTCTCAAAGCGCTTCACAGAATATACTGTAAAGTGAATTACTATATTTTGTGGGCGCCTTATAGCGCCTTATCAGGTGGTTGAGATGTCTCAAAGTGTTTCACAGAATATACTGTAAAATGTAGTGATTGTGTATTTTGTGTGCTGTCCCCTCTCTGGGTAAGAAGGTTGAAGGCTCAAGTCCCACATTGATCTTATATTCAATGCTGACATTACAGGGCATTATTTGGGAGAGAGCTTAGGATCCAGGCTGCCTATTCACAGAGGACATTAAATACGTCAGGGCACTATTGGCCAAGAAAAGGGAGTTTCACTGGATAACAATCCTTCAGATAATTTACTCATTCAGTTTTATTTTACATAAAACTGCCAATCAGTGCAAATTGGCTGCTGATTTTGCCTTGAAATACTCTTGACAGTAATTTCCTGTGAATTCTGTGTAGTGTTAGTTGGTGCCTTGTTATATTTGTATTGACTGTAAATTAAGGTAATAGTTACTCTAGTCCTTAAACCTCTGATCTATGATCAGTTGCAATGATTATGACAGTAATAGTATTCCATTGATGGGATTGCGTAATGTGATTGGATAATCTGGGATTGGGTAATGAGAGTCTTAGCAATCAATAAACAAATTACTCCAAGGTAATTTCACCCTCCCACATGGAGCTCAGCAAATGCACATTTTAGAAAAATCACAAAGTCTCTATGCTAGTTTATGAGATCACTGAATGAGAACACACCATAGACATGTACAATGCATTAACATGTCATTGTATAACATAGATTTACTCCCAAAGCAAGAATTTATACATGAAAATGGGTAAAATATATTCGTAGCTGAATATGGTCTGGAAAAACATACGATTGTGTATACAAGCAGAAATGCATGTACAGGCAAACACACGAGATTTGAGACGTCTCAAAGACATGATAAGGCGCAAGGATTATTATTATTAAGCCAAATTGTTTTGTTCATGATGGGGAGGTCTTGCTAACCTAATTTACTGGTTTTCTTTGACGGTATGACAGGGGAGCTTGATAAGGATAAGGCTGTGGATGTTGTATATCTGGATTTCAGTACGGCCTTTGATATAGTTCCTCTTGAGAGTCTGGTACTGAAAGTAAAGAAAGCAGAAATCAGTGGAGGTATATTACAATGGATACACAACTGGTTGACCGGAAGAACCCAGAAGGTGATGGTACAGGGAATGTCCTCAGACTGGGAAAATGTTACCAGTGGAATTCCATAGGGGTCTGTTTTGGGACCTCCTTTTGTTTAATACTTTTATAAATGATCTGGAACTAGGAGTCACAAGCACAGTGGCTAAGTTTACAGATGACACCAAGCTGATGAAGGTGGTCGATTGCAAAGCTGAACAAGATTGGTTACAGGAGGATTGGGGGGACCGGTGGCAGATGAAATTTAATATGGAGAAATGTAAAGTACTTCACATGGGGACAAAAAATCCAGGAAGGGCTTATTATTTGAACAGAAGGAAAGTAATATGTATGGAAGATGAAAAGGACCTGGTGGTCCTGATTGACAATAAATTGAAGCTCCCCCAACACTGCTCTGTGGAGGTGAGTAAAGCAAACCAGATGTTGGGATGTATCAAAAGATCAATAGCAGCCAAAATAGTGGGGTAATCCTGCCACTGTATAAATCATTGGTGAGACCATATTTAGAGACTGTGTACAGCTCTGGATAAATCGAGAGGCTACAGAGGAGGGCAACCAGAATGATTGAGGGAATGGAGGGACTGGACCATGAGGAGCGACTGAGTAAATTGGTTAAGTTCATGCTGGAAAAAAGGAGGCAACATGATTGCTGCCTTTAAGATTCTAAAAGGGCAAAACAATATAGACCATGATGGGCTGTTTCAACTTGTCCGGAATAGTAAAACCAGAGGCCATGACCTGCGATTGAAGGGAGTAAATTCAGAACAAATCTACGGAAACGCTATTTCAGTGAGCGAATAGTGAACCTGTATATAGACTATGTCTGTATACCATATATATATAAAATATATATATATACTATGTCCTCTGTGTGGGTGTATTTAACCTTCTCCCTAGGGAGACAGTTGAAGGAGGAAGTGTTAATTCTATCCAACACAGATTAGATAGTTTGCTTTTAGGAAATAATATTCATAGAACCGTAGAATCATCGAATTATACAGCACAAAAGGAGGCCATTCGGCCCATCATGTCTGTGCTGCTCTTTGAAAAGAGCTTCCAAACCAACCCCACTCCCCCGCTCTCTCCCCAGAGCCCTGATCAAACCCACTCCCCCCACTCTCTCTCTCTCCCCAGACCCCTGATCAACCCCACTCCCCCGCTCTCTCCCCACAGCCCTGATCAACCCCACTCCCCGCTCTCTCTCTCCCCATAGCCCTGATCAAACCCACTCCCCCACGCTCTCCCCATAGCCCTGATCAATCCCACTCCCCCACGCTCTCCCCATAGCTCTGCAAACTTGCACTCCCCAAATAATTATCTACTTCTCTCTTGAAACCTGCTATCAAATCGGCTTCCACCAGCCTTTCAGGCAATGCATTCCAGATCCGAACAACTCATTGATGAGATATTGTACATAGGTTGTTTGGGACATATGTGCATGCGACCACCAGGAAAGGTGGAAGGTGAACTAGACGGACCTTGGTCATTTTTTTGTCTAGCGTTTCTTATGTTCTTATGTTTTGTCGCTTGGAAACCGTATTCCAAATCACGTCCTTCGCCTCACCTGCTCCGCCATTGACAGGCAGGCCTTCAGCCACTCTGCCCCCACTCTCTGGAACTCCATCCTGCAGTCCCTCCACCTCAACCCCTCCCTCGCCTCCTTCAAGACCCATCTCAAGACCCTCCTCTTCAACCATGCTTTCGATTTCCCTCCTTCCCCCCTGCCCTCAACCCTCCACCCCAACCCCCAGCTCGGGTCCGAAGCACTGACTGTGCAACTCCATGGGAGGTCCTCCCGGCATGAAAGGCGCTATACAAATGTAATTTTGTTGTTGTTGTATTTCCTGATGAATCAAAACAGCACAGAACCAGCACACTGTATTGTGTCGAGCCTCATTCAGCACCTAACACAAGCCCATACAGCAGCAACAACAATAGCTTGGACTTATATAGCTCCCTCCATGCCAGATGGCGTCTCAGAGCACTTTACAGTGACGGATCCCAGGACCGAGCCAGGGGGAGGGGAGGAGCGAGCTGGGGGAGGGGGAGGAGCCGGGGGAAGAGGAGGAGCCAGGGGAGGGGGAGTAGCCAGGGGAGGGGGAGGAGCTAGGGAGAGGGGAGGAGCCAGGGAGAGGGGAGGAGCCAGGGGAGGTGGCGGTGTGGGTGGGGGTAGGTGGGTGGGGGGTGTGGGTGGGGGTAGGTGGGTGATCGAAGGCACAGTTGAAGAGGAGGGTCTTGAGAAGTGCTTTGAAGGAGGCAAAGAAGGGAAATGATTTTATTGTTACAAAAGAGCAATGACACTTGGTACCACAGTGAGTGGGATTCCCTGAATGGATCCAAGCCCAGGTCACGCTCTAGTTGTAAATGAAACAACTTGCATTTATGTGGCGCCCCTAACACAGGGCAGCTTCCCAAAGCGCTTTGCAGTGGTGGAGCACAACACTGAGCTGGAGGGAGGTGACCGTGGACACGGTCGAAGAGGAAGGTTTTCAGGCACTATCTGAAGATGAGGAAGGAGGGGACAAGGTGGAGATATAGAGGAAGAGTGTTCCAGAATTTGGGGTAATAGTGGCTGAAAGCGTCGACACCGATGATGCAATCGAGAGCACAAGGGACAAGTAGGAGGCCAGAGCCAGCCGAGTGGAGGCAGCAGATTGAGGGTTGGGGGTGAACAGGTCAGAGAAGTTGTGAGGTTCCAGGGCATGAAAGGGACTCGACAACGAGTGTGAGGATCTTGAAATCAATCTGTTCGGTGTTTAGGGAGCCAGCTAGACGTGGTGTGCTGGGGGCACGGAGTTTAGCACGGGAGAGTATGCGGGCGGTGGAGTTTGGGAAGAGCTGGATTTTATGGCTGGTGGAGCTGGGAAGAGGCGAGAGGGGCAAGTGAAAAGTCGATTCGGGAGTGATGAGTTTTGCCACAATCAAAAGGCAAATATAAGTATATAAGTGCACAGAAATATAATACTGACAATCCCTGCATCTGATACAGCGCCTTATCACGTGTTCCAGAGCCTCAAAGTGCTTCATAGAATATACTGCAAAGTAAAGTGACTCTATATCTTGTGGGCAAAATGCAGCTGATTGTGCACAGCAGCCGGTGTCCCCACCAACAGTCGTGGATTGAGCGAGAAAATTATTTATTTTTAAAAAATGTATTTTTGTTTTAAGGGGATTATTATTGCTCCCGGAAAAGCAATCTGCCGATTGACTAACAACCAGATTCCTACTTACTGCTCGGTAAACAGGTGTGTGGAGTAAAGCGTTCCCTCTGCCCGGGAATCAAACCCAGGTCCTCTCGCTCGTGAGGCAAGTGCTCTAACCACTGCACAACAGGACCCCACAAACATACATACAAATACTTTCTAACATGGCAATAAAACTGCATTCGCAATTTTGATGAATACGAGCTATATTGATGGCATTGAAATTCAAAGGTTTGATTTGATTGTTTTTAATAAACTGGCTTTTGATCGCCCGAGAGCAGAAATCAACCCAACCAGAGCAGGAGGAAATAACACACACGCACACACACACACACGCACACACGCACACACAGCCCAGCCCACATGTAGCACTTACCCAGAGTGCACAGGCTGGAAGAGGAACAAGACCCAGAAGACAAGACGAGAGCAGAGAGCGGTCTGTCCACAGCTGGAATCCTCTCCTCTCCTCTCCTCTCCGCTCCGTCCGGCACGAAACACAGCTGCAACACATCAGCACTGAAGGTTCGTGTCAATTCTAAACACACCTGAGCTCAGACAATTTAACACATGAACATTGGCCCAGGAAAAGGGTCATTGAAAACACACACACGCTTCACACACACACACAAGCTTCACACAGTGTGTATAGTATGTATAGTATATTGTGTATATAGTGTGTATAGTATAGTGTATATAGTGTATAGTATATAGTGCATATAGTGTGTATAGTGTATGTGTATAGTAAGTATGTAGTGTGCATAGTGTATATAGTGTGGATAGTATACAGTGTATATAGTGTGTATAGTATATAATGTATAGTGTGTATACTATATAGTATGTATAATTCATGGTGTATAGTATATAATATTAATAATATTATAATATTAATAATAATAATAATCGTTGCATTTGATATAGCGCTTTTCACGTCGGGAGGACGTCCCAAAGCGCTTCACAGAACACTGTAAAGTGAATTGACTGTATATTTGTGGGCGAACGCGGCAGCCAATTGCGCACAGCAATGTCCCACAAACAGTCGTACATTGAATATGACCAATTTATTATTGTTTTGGGTTTTGGAGGGATTATTATTAGGCTCTGTGTGGAGTAAGGAAACTTGCCCGAGGTTTCGCCCTCTGCCTGGAAATGAACTCAGGTCTCTCACTTACAAAGCGAGTGCTCTAACCACTGAGCTACAGGACTCCATGAAGTGTCTATAGTGCGTATATTATATAGTGTGCATAGTATACAGTGTATATAATACATGTAGTGTATAATGTATATAGTGTGTATAGTGCATATAACGTGTCTAGTATAGAGTGCATATAGTATATAGCGTGTTTTGTATATGGTGTGTATTGTATATAGTGTATATAATGTGTATAGTATATAGTTTGTATGGAGTGTGTAGTATACAGTGTCTATAGTGTATAGTCTATAGTGTATATAGTGCATAGTATATGGTGTATATAACACATGTGGTATATAGTGTGTATGTAATGTGTACCATATGTATACTATATAGTATGTATAGTGTATATAATGTGTACAATATGTATGCTGTATAGTGTGTATAGTGTGTATAATGTATGGTGTATATAATGTATATATTATCTAGTATGTATAGCGTATGGTGTATATAGTGTGTGTATTATATCGTGTGTATAGTATATACTGTATATAGTGTGTATAGTTTATAGTGTATATAGTGTATATAATATGTAGTTTGTATGGTGTGTATAGTATATACTGTATAGTGTGTATGGTGTATAGTGTGTATAGTGTATATAGTATATAGTGTATATAGTGCGTATAGTATATAGTGAATATAGTGTGTATAGTATATAGTGTGTATACATACTATACGCATTATATACACCATATATTAAGCACTATATAGTGTATATAGTGTGTATATATAGTTTATACATAGCGTGTATGTTGTATATACTGTGTGTAGTATATATAGTATATAGTGTATATAGTGTGTAGTGTATATAGCGTGTATAGTATGTACACTGTATGTAGTATATAGTGCGTATAGTGTATATAATGTGTACGACATATAGTGCACATAGTATATATTTTCTATAGTATATAGTGTGTAGTGTGTATTGTATACGGTGTATAGTGTGTATAGTATATAGTGTATATAGTGTGTATAGTATATAGTGTGTACAGTACATAGTTTACATAGTGTGTATAATGTAGTGTGTATATAGTGTGTATGGTGTATAATATGTATAGTGTGTATAGTATATAGCGTATATAGTGTTTATTGTGTATATGGTGTGTATAGTGTGTATAGTACATAGTGTATATAGTGTGTATAGTGTAGTGTGTATATAGTGTGTATAGTATATAGTATGTATAGTGTGTATGGTATATAGTGGATATAGTGTGTATAGTATATAGTGTATATAGTGTGTACAGTGTGTATAGTATATAGTGTGTACAGTATGTAGTTTATATAGTGTGCATAGTGTAGTGTGTATATAGTGTGTATAGTATATCATGTATATAGTGTGTATAGTATATCGTGTGTATAGTGTGTACAGTGTGTATTGTGTGTATAGTATATAGTGTGTATAGTACATAGTTTATATAGTGTACATAGTGTAGTGTGTGTATAGTGTATAGTGTGTATAGTATATAATGTGTATAATATAGTGTATATAGCGTGTACAGTGTGTATAGTGTGTATGGTACATCGTGTGTATAGTACATAGTTTATATAGTGTGTATAGTGTAGTGTGTATATTGTGTGTATAGTATATTGTATATAGTGTGTATAGTATATAGTTTATATAGTGTATTGAATATAGCATATGTAATATATAGTGTATAAAGTGTGTATAGTGTGTGCATGTGTATAGTAAGTGTATGTAGTGTGCATAGTGTATATAGTGTGTATAATATATCGTATATATAGTGTGTATAGTATATAGTGTGCATGGTATATAATGTATATGGTATGTATAATGTGCATAGTATAGTGTATGTAGTGTATAGTATAGAGTGTGTTCTATATATAATACATATAGTGTGTATAGTATATAGTGTATATGATGTGTATGGTATATTGTTTATATGTGTATAGTGTGTATAATATATAGTGTATATAGTATGTAGTGTGTATAGTGTATAATACCTACCGCCCCATCTCTAACCTTCCATTCCTCTCCAAGGTTCTGGAATGAGTCATCGCTTCCCAGCTCCGCTCCTTTCTCTCCTGCCACTCCCTCTATGAACCCCTCCAAACCGGGTTCCACACTGCCCACAGCACGGAAACAGCCCTGGGGGTCACAGTCACTAGTGACGTTCTGAACATCTGTGATCAGGGTTCCCTCTGCCTCCTTGTCCTCCTCGATCTCTCTGCCGCCTTCGAGACTGTCGACCACTCCATCCTCATACACCGCCTCTCCTCCTTACTTAATCTTCACTGACCTGCCCTTGCCTGGATTGAATCCTATCTCTCTCACCGTCTCCACTTTGTTGCCTCTAACGGTTTCTCCTCCAGCCCCCGCACTGTCACGTGTGGCGTCCCCCAGGGCTCTGTCCTTGTCTCCTCTTTAATATCTACATGCTCCCCCTCGGGGACTTCATCCACAGACATGGGGTCAACTTCCACATGTACGCAATGACACCCAACTCTATCTCTCTGCCCCCACCCTCAACTCCAGGGCCACTGCTGTCCTGACACTGTCTGTGGGACATCAAGTCCTGGATGAGGGCAAACTTCCTACAGTTGAATGTGAACAAGACTGAGGCCCTCCTGATCGGCTCACGGCAGCGCCTCAGGACCTCAGGCTCCGGCAGCATCGCCCTCCATGGTGTACACTACAGCTCACCAGTCAGTCAGGAACCCGGGTGTCTTGTTCGACCCTCAACTGTCTTTTCTTCCCCACATTCAGGCCATGACCCGCTCTGCCTTCCCTCACCTCCGTAACATCGCCCGACTCCACCACTACCTCACCCCTCAGGCCACTGACACTCCTGTTCATGCCTTCATCACCTCCGGCTCGACTGCAAACGCCCTGCGTGTCGGCCTTCCCAACTCCTCCCCCCACAGAGGCTGTGTACATAGTGTGTACAGTGTATACAATGTATATCGTATATAGTGTTTATATTGTGTATAGTGTATATTGTATATACTTTATATAGTGTGTATAGTACATAGTGTGTACAGTATATAGTGTATATAGTATAGTGTGTGTATATAGCTGTACCTTGGTAGGAGGGCTCAGTGGGTGGGGGCTCAGTGGGTGGGGGCTCAGTGGGAGGGGCTCAGTGGGTGGGGCTCAGTGGGAGGGGCTCAGTGGGTGGGGGCTCAGTGGGAGGGGCTCAGTGGAGAGGGGCTCAGTGGGTGGGGCTCAGTGGAGGGGCTCAGTGGGTGGGGCTCAGTGGAGGGGTTCAGTGGGTGGGGCTCAGTGGGTGGGGCTCAGTGGAGGGGCTCAGTGGGTGGGGCTCAGTGGAGGGGCTCAGTGGGTGGGGCTCAGTGGAGGGGCTCAGTTGGAGGGGCTCAGTGCAGAGGGGCTCAGTGGGTGGGGCTCAGTGGAGGGGCTCAGTGGGTGGGGCTCAGTGGAGGGGCTCAGTGGGTGGGGGCTCAGTGGGAGGGGCTCAGTGGGTGGGGGCTCAGTGGGTGGGGCTCAGTGGAGGGGCTCAGTGGGTGGGGCTCAGTGGAGGGGCTCAGTGGGTGGGGCTCAGTGGAGGGGCTCAGTGGGTGGGGCTCAGTGGGAGGGGCTCAGTGGGTGGGGGCTCAGTGGGAGGGGCTCAGTGGGTGGGGCTCAGTGGAGGGGCTCAGTGGGAGGGGCTCAGTGGGAGGGGCTCAGTGGGAGGGGCGTTGTGACGCGCGTGGCCACAGCGCCACTGTGATTCGGCGGCACCAGCTGTAACTGCAGGGAAGCCGCTGAGGTAAAGATCCCGTCCGTCTGCAATGGGATCTTTCCTGAACCGCACTCAGCGACAGCGCTGCACAGTGAGTGTGAGGGAGGGAGGGACGGGGGGAGAGGGAGCTGCCGGACCGGGCCCAGGCCCCGGGGCTCGCTTACCTTGGTGTCTGTGAGCCCCCCCCCACCCGGGCCGCCCCCCCCCCGGGCCGCCCTCCACCCCTCCCGCCCCCCACCCCCGGGCCGCCCCCCCCCCCGGGCCGCCCCCCCCCCCGGGCCGCCCCCCCCCCCCGGGCCCCCCCCCCCCCGGGCCGCCCCCCCCCCCGGGCCGCCGCCCCCCCGGGCTGCCCCACCCCCCGGGCCGCCCCCCCCCCCCTCCCGCCGCGCCCCCTCCCCCCGGGCCGCCCCCCCCCCGGCCCGCCCCCCCCGGGCCCCCCCCCCCCCGGGCCGCCCCCCCCCCCCGGGCCGCCCTCCACCCCTCCCCCCCCCCGGGCCGCCCCCCCCCCCGGGCCGCCCTCCACCCCTCCCCGCCCCCCCCGGGCCCCCCCCCCCCGGGCCAAACCCCGGGGACGGCACAGTTGGGCCCGAAGCCCGGGACCCGCCATCTTGTAACAGCGACTCGTGGCGAGTGAG